AAAAGAACAATAATAAAAAATATATTCGTTTAGAATACATAATTCACGAGCCCCCCAATATATATTTATATTTTTAAATATATATTTTAAATTTATTTAATTTATAATTTCAACAAAAATATTTATATATAATAATTTATATTATATTATTTTTATCCTATATATATATATATTAATATTATTTCAATTTTTAAAAAATATTAACCATAAATACAAATATATTTCAAACATTATTATTATTATTTAATAATTAATTTTTAAAATTTATATTTAATATATAAAAATAATATTATTTTTTTAAATCAATATATTTTTCTTATTTGGTAATTTAAATTAATTTTCATAATTTAATTTATATATATATAAAAATAATTTCGTTAAATACCTTTTTCATTCTTTTTCTAATTATTAAAATTAAAATTTTTTAAAAAAAGAAGCTTAGAATATGATAAAATATGGTTTAGAAGGTGTTTTTTTTGTTTGGTAATTTATATTAATCTTTATAATTTATATTAATTTGTTATGTTTATATATAGAAATTATCGACGAAATTATTTCTTATACAATTCATGGAGTACTATATAATATATACATAGACACCTTGTTCCTTTCTGTCCGTCGCAATCCGCCATATGCTGCAAGGTTCATCTTCAATAATCCAAAACCTTTTATTTGGATCATAACGTAAATTTGTTTAATTATTATTCTTTAATGTTCGTTACACAAATTTCACAAATGTGAATTTCCAAAATATTGTAATACATTTTTTCCCTAATATGAAAGCGAAGGAACGGTACTTTGAGCAGCAAATTCCTCGCCCAACTACATGAAACGTCGTGAAACATCACTTTGTCAATCAAGTGCATGTTTGGGATATTCCCAAAGAGCAGTATGCCTTGGCCACACATGCGAAATGGCAATGAAATGGCGGTGACGAAATGGCGTATTTTGATTCGGGCTTTTCTTTCTGCTGAGTGACTTTTGCATAACATCTCGATTCATCTCCTTGCTAAACTTCTGCGAGTCCAGGAAATAGTCCTGAACACAGCGATGTGCAGCTTGCTCACTCTTGAAAGCCACGATTTGTCCAGTTTCGAGCTTGTGTGAAACTGCCCAAAGAAAGCCTTCACTGTCACTGGCCTGGCATTTCAGCAGTACACCATTTTCGTACACCTGACATCCAGGGAATTTTCCTGGATTTTTCTTGATGTCTAGTGCCAAGATTTTGACGCAAATTCACAAGAGTATAGATGTGTAGGTAAATGCAAGACCGGAGACACAAGATATGCAGAGGAAGGTTTTGTGCAAATGTAGACATGAAGACATCTAGAGGTATTGAGATAGATTGCGGTGGTGTATATATTCTAGAACCTTTTTCATCAGTCGAGAATTGATTCACAGGTAACGAACAAACAAATCGCAGGTAGATGGACAGTTGAAGAATGGCAAGTAAAGCGAGAAGCAACATTGAAAATCACGGTTTGCAGAATGGTTCTTCATTTCATATTGGACAATCTAATGTATAGCATTTAAGGCCCAGGGGTAGACGAAAGCTCGGCAGGGAGCTGGGCATGAAAACACACAGGGCATTACACATGATGAAAGGCTGTGACGGATGCTCCTCCCAAAGACCTTGCTAAAGCAAGAAGTGACTTCAGCTAGCAGAAGCTAGCTTAGCTTTCGTGATAAATGACTACATACACACAACATCACAAAATGGAATGTATAAATGAATGACATTAAATGACCACGGAATATTGATTACGGGTGTGGGGTCTCAGAACCTAGATATCTCAAAGCAGAAAAGCGCACAACGTACCAAAGCACAAAAACACCTCCAAAACGAAACGAGCTAACGAGCTGGCAAGACCCTTCTGCTCACAGATCCATCGGCACCGTGGAAATATGCGGCTCCATGGTATCTTCCCTGGCATAGACATATGTGGTTCAATCGCTGAACTGGGGGTTTCCATAGATGGGGGGTATCCCAAAATGGATGGTTTATAGTGGTAAATCTTATTAAGATGGATGATTTGGGGGTAACGATATTTTAGGAAAGCTCAAACTGAATACCGAACTCGATACAACTGCATCGCCACCTCCTGCCACACCCCTTCAAGGAAACCACCGTTGGCAAAGTGATAGACTCCACGGTCATGCATCAATCCATCTTTCCATCCTCAAGATTGTCCAGCTCCATAATGTGTATGTGTTTAGTTTATGTATGTTTATGTACATATTTATCATGAGGACAGCTTACTGATTACTATGCGCATTCCAGTGAATTTGGCTCTGCGAAAGAAGTCCTCCAGCATATGTGTCGCCATTCGAGAAGACTTGCTGACCAAAGCCATCTCTTTTGCCTGCCTTGCAACCAACAAACTCGTGAGTCTATCATTTTTTCGGGATGTGGAGGGCTCAAAAAACCTACAACATACCCACAACCAACTGATCTCTTCTCCGGCCTTAAACTCTCCTTCGAATAGCTTCTCACCGGTTGGGCCAACAATCTTCACAGAACCCTCCAACTTTCCATCCTGCATCCAGCAATCTTCAGCAATCTTCAGCAAAGAATCTAGGATGATGAAGGATTCGGATCACACTGAAAACATCTGAGAACCCATTGTGCACTATCGATCCATATCGTCACTAATATCATCCATTGTTCATGACAACTGAGCGCAGCTGTATGGCCTTCCAGGTTCCAGCCATTTGGGTGCCGTCGCTCCTGGCAGCGGCACAGCTGGCTGGTGAGATCTGGCTGTACAAAAACTGGGCGAGGCTGGCTGTGTACAAACTCCACTGCCGTGGCGTTGTCCCCAAAGCCAGTTTCCTTCGTAGACCTGTGAGATTTGGAAACCCTGGAGACTTGAAGGTCCTTTATGGTCCTTTGAAATTCTGATGATGCAAAAACAAACAACCTCCAGAACTGCCAAGGATCTATGACGTTGGACCTTTTAAGAAACACCAAAGAGAACACAGGTACTGCAGGTACTGGTCGAAGCGCGCGCCTGGCCCTGGTAGGTGTGCTTGCCTTTCCCATGTCGCATGCCATACAAGAACCTCTGACACCGACTTCAAATGGGAATCAGCTCACGGATTGTGTTTGTATATATATATATAATTATATATATATGATTATGATTATATATCTAATATATTCTAATATGATACACATATAATATCTATATAAATTACTATTTTGAATTATACATATAATATATATATACACATAATATTAAATAATCATAAACAAGTTTAAAGTATACAGATGTATCTAGAATGTGTGTTGTGAGAACCACGTTCTCATCGTCACAACTCTTCTGACAAAAAGCATTTGGCTCAGCAAGTCTGAAACAGTCTGGAGCAGAAACGATGCGCTAAGTTCTAAGCATCTTCCAAGACTAAGCTGCTCGCTCAACCTCGTAGCATCCATCCTCATTGAGTTCCTGGAATTGTAGTCAAACTATGACTGGAAGGGGAAGAGACGTGAGACATGAACAATGCAGTACAGGAAAATGAAGACTTTGCTTCGGTCAGAGACGGAGTTGGGGTAGACAGAAGAGAACCGAAAAGGAGCAGGATGACAACAAACTAAAGAAGTCTACCTACCTACTGCAGGCGAAAGAAGCAGTGAAGTCTAGCCACCAAGAATTGCCCACGTGCAGCGGCAGCTGAAAGGCAACAATTTTGGGATCAATGGTATTCAACACCATCCCCTGGCTATTCCAGGCTATTCTCTTCTACTTGGCCCACTAGCATTGAAACATGGAAAATCAGCAGCTCCTCCTTTGATTCCCCATTTGTGGTATACCAGCTCAGGAACTCCAACCGCTTCTTCATGTCCTCAGAACCTGAATCTGCGAACAATGAATAGACACTTTTCTGTGACACACATGGTGAACTGTGCAACATGATGCAACATGTATATACCAATGGACCGTTGTATACCTCTCCTATGGTTGCTTTTCTGCTATTCGGAAGGATCTCTTGGACCTCTTGGATCTGAGTCTCTGACCGAAGGTGTCGTCCCAGGTGGTGTAGGAGATCGCCTCCAGACCTGCTTTCCTTTGTATGGTGTCCAGCTCGCTCTTCACCGTCCTGCAATTGCTGCCACGGAAGCCAGGCAGCCACACATATGTCGCTTAAGCAGTTTGAAGCACATAGAAATGCAAAAGGCTTCCTAATCTTCCTAGCCAGTCCTAGCCATCTCATATTGATCTGGCATAATCTTCACCTCAAATCGCATAGGAATGTGTGGTGCAATCATCCAACATGGAGCACAGTCTGCAGCGACAGTTCTAGGGCTTGGACCTGCTGTTCTAACCTCAAGCATTACCAAATCTCCGTGGATGGCAGACCAGATCACACCATATGTCCAATTGTTTCGCACTTTTTCTCATTTAACTACCCATTTTAATCCCATGTGTAATCATTTATAGGGGATTTCCCAGTGCCATCCAATATTTTTGTTGACTGCTCACATCTAGTGGTCTATCTTCAGGTGAGCACACTAGCTGCTCATGCTAAGTAGAGATTGCGAGAATAAGAAGTCCAAAGCCTGTTGCTGGTGAGATCGGGTTCATTGGGGTTCTCAATTTTGAAACTATATATCCGAAATTTTGGATCCTTTTCGAGACCTTTGTCCTGATATTACAGTTGGCGACGGTTGTGCATGCACCGCATTCAACCAAGCAGTCAGCTTACCATGCACTCAAATGTAGAAATGCCACAACTTTGTTGTTTCAGATCAACATCTTTGGATCTCCTGTCTTAACACGGCACAAAGATCTGACTTCCTCACATGGTCAGCTCTAAGTCGTGAACCGAACGTATCTCTGAAGTCTTTCTCTTTCCGACTGGACATTTCAAGACATTGACTTCACACGCAAAGCATACACATTAGATTGTCTGCGATTGTTTCACTACCCAAACAAACCAATGCAGCACAGTGTGGAAAGTATGCAAACATGATTACATAAACATACCCATTAAAAGATCATGTTTGAAGCTTAAATGTGCTATGTTGAACCGAACCAGAAAAAACATGGACAAATCTCATACACACCGACCTTCTCCACCTCCGCCTTGTAGCGTCGGGTGATCCTTGCAGCTGGCACTGTTGGATACTGTTGGTTTCATTTCACTGGTCGGGTGCAGCCTCTTCGTCAAATCTCCATTGACTACTGGGGACCTGGCATCGGAAAATCGGAGCAACGAACATGGGATCACCCTTTCACTAGGCTGAAACGATCAGGAGGTCGCGAGAACATGGGAGTTTGGGTTGTGCCTTGGAGTTGTACTGTCTTTGGCGATTGCTTCACCGGCTCTTGCCTGTTGGAATCACACCAGGCTTTCACTCTGTCATCTTTCAACTATTGTTGGCGTGCTGTCAAACTCCTCGTAGAGGCATAGTACATTAGATTACATTAGTACATCTATACTTCCAGACTCAACACCTTGAGATACGAGTACTTGCAGATTTCTCATGATTTCTCAACATGGGGCTCAATTCATCTCAATTCCCTCAGTGTTTCACTTGCAGTCACTCAATTCATCCCTCAGGTTCCAGCCCAGTCTAAACGTCCAAGCGTTGATCCAAGGAGGGATGGAGCCCTGGCATGTCGTCGTTTTCAGTTTTTGGCCAGTTGGAGGATCTGTGATGTGCTCATCTTGAAGAACTTGTTGCTCGAGACATGGTGATCTCATGCGATTTTAATTGATTTTATATAGCACTTTACTTGAGTTTGGCACACTCCTTTTTTGAAATAGTCTCAACAACGAAACAGCCGAAGCCGTCAGATATTAGTTTCAAGTCTCTACGTTCCAAGACAGGGATTCGCTGAGCTTCCAGCTTTGGGCTCCGTTGTGGTGGTTCATCTCTGGCCTCCTGGCACTAGACTTTGCACCAATTGGCACCAAATTGGTGGGAAAAAATCCTGCACCAGTGGGTACTGGGATAAATGCCCCTTAAAGGCAATCTAAAAACTCTAAGCGGAAGAACGTAGAGAGTCAATTGCCATCGATTGATGACCATCACCCAGTATGGATAAATACACCAACTTTTGGCCATGGCGACAGCATAAAACTTGAGGCTCCCGCCCCCTCCATGTTGCCTGACACTTTGATTCTGAGGAATTTCTCATCCCAAGCATTTAACTTCCAACAAAAAGGTACTCTCTGTGAATATCAATCATATCATGTATATATATACACATACATATCTATTATACGTATGAATATCTGGATTATTTATCTCATCTCGGATGTGTTTCGAAGTCTGCTCGGAGCCCGAACCTGGAAACAACTCTTGCCGCTGTTCTCTTGCGAGCCAATAGCGACATGATATGACAATGTACAGTACTTCAGTGTACTTCAATACAACGTTGCATCTGGAATCTTTAAAAGCATTCGGAATCTCAGGGCTACTTTAGCTTCCTGCAAGCAGCGAGTGTCCTTTACTGTATGCGGCAAATGTCATCTGATGGAGGACTTTTTGGTAACGGCTGGTGGTTGTACCTGGCGCACCTTGAGTGAACCAGGAGTGAAACTTTGTGCGAACATCCTGTTGATGCCTTGTACGTGCTGGAAATTCACGAAAAAGAAAAGAATTGGGTACAGCTTTGGTTTGCATAGCATCATGACCTGCTTCACTCATTGCTTTACTAATTGAGCCTAGTTGGAGTCAGCATGTTTGAAGATTGTACTGAGAAGGCCTGGAAATTCTGGAACAAATCCAGCTAGTATCTAATACATTCTGACACAAGTATCTACAAGTAATATGTAAGAACATGTAAGAACGTCTAATATCTAATACATTCAGTATCTAATATGTATTAATATGTAAGAACGCAAGAAACCCTGTGTTTGTCTATTCAGCAACGAAAGCCTTGCACCGCAAGCTTTTGTGCCATTCCTCAAGTCGAAAGGCGATCAAAATTACGCGGGAAAAGGTCACCCTGTCTGGACCCAACACTGTGCGTGAAATGGCAATTTGGCTTCGCTTGGGTTCGCATTTGGTGCCCGGCCACCGCGGTCCTATACTCGGTTCCACAAACGCCTCAAACAACAGAAGAGGACGAACACTGTACAATTTGCACAGCATGCAGTACCAAATGATCCCTTTTGAAGTGACACAAAATCGAAAAACTCAGCTCTCCGAATGCAAACCACCACAACCACCACAGCATCACCAGTTCTGATTACATCCTGACCCAATTTTTATGGCTTGAGCTCTGTTTGAGCTTGAAACTCCCAGGCTTCTCCAGCAATGTCTCCTGCCCTCCGCCTTACTGCTGTGGACAGCTGTACTTAGCTCAGCCCTGAAATTGCTGCAGGATTGAGCAGGATTACCAAGAGCCAGACCCAATTGAGGGGTTGGACTCGCCTGCCTCACAACTGGGATCAACTGGGAGTTGATCCGACTTAAGGTGAATGGTCTGCCAGTCTCTGCAGGCCTTCACGATGTCAAAGCCTCTGAGAGCCATCTGGAAGGCCTGGCGAAACTGCAAACAAACACATCCACATCCCAAAGAGTTCAAAGCAAAGGCAACAAAGTGTATGAATTACCTGTAACGTTCTTCGCCGTTGGGAGGCCTTCACAGCTCTCATGCAAAACACAACACCTCAGATGCTGACACATCAGGTTCGCTATACCAGGAAGAGAATATTTCCAATAGACTGTTTCGAGACAAAACAAGCAACTGGTGGGCTTGCCTTCAGCCTTCAACACGGGCAGCTAAACTGTGCTCATGTTCCTCAACCTTCACCAAGGCGCAGTTGGTAGAGTCTGGCTGCTTCTCCACAGTTGGCATGATCTCAGTGGGATCGAGAAATCGATGATGATCAATCTACAAAGAACAAAAAATCCGATAAGACTCACCTTTAAGACTCACCTGAATCGTTCATCACTCGTGAGGGGTTCCCAACCTTGGATAACAATGTCTTTTTCACAATTGTTTGCTGATGATGTCCTTTGGGGGAAGAGTAGATAGGCCAAATAGGCCGGTTCATTTGGGGGGTCCACAATAAATATCTAAAAAATCAAGGACTCCATAATCATCCAACATTTCCTCATGGACCGCTATGACCCAGGTCCTGGTCCTGAAAATCACGCGCCAAATCTTCCTGCAGCACCCGCGATAGAACACGGCCAACTACAGGAGGTGCGCCACCCACCAAATGGCGGTAAATCTGCGCCTGGAGGTGGAAAGGCACCTCTATGTATGTCATCTGTGTGTATTATATGAATTATATCCATAAATTTACGTAAAAACACAACACACACACACGTATATATATATATATAATATACACGTGTATATGTAATATATCATCTATATATATATATATACGTATATAATATGTATGTATACTCAACATATTAAAATATATAACTGGTTTTATGTACAATGAACATCTACCACGTTCTATCCACAGGTTACGGTATACGTGTCCCAAACCCAAACCGCTTTATGAATCATCGTCGTCGTCGTCGTCATCATCATCGTCATCATCCTCATCCTCATCCTAGTTTGTTCGTCACATCCCTTGACAATCCTGGGCCTGTGGATGAACACATGGGACTGCTGGGTTTTTCATGCTGGCTTCTAAGTCCTTCACACCACAATCAAGCGGACAGCCTGGGTACAGCACACAAACACCTTGTCAAAAACCATCTTGGGCACACTGACTTGGAGAGGGTCCTGAACATCTCTGTAGCGAGATTGCACAGACTGCACCACCTGTCAGAATGCTTGTTGGAAACTGCTGCATACGACGCTTCGAATGACATGGATTGACACGGTTGGTTCGTTCCAGCTCCTGAGCAAACTTGGGAGCTTGCTGTCTCCGTGTCTGTCTCGATCTCTGGTGCTGTTGAATTTTCAAGCATCAGTGGTACCACGACTCACAGTACCAAGTCTAAATCTGTGATGCATGCTGCCAATCCCCAATTTTGTGGCCAGGCAATATTTTGCCAGATGGCATACACACTTTCTGGTTCAGACCTATGTATGCTTATACTATAATTCGCCTCATGGATTTGGCTTACTGTTTGGTGGATAGGCCTTTGATTGGACACACTTTTAATTTACTTGATCATGAATGTCTCGGCCTGCTCACAGCTCTCGATGTCATCGGCAAAGTAGACAAGAATGCCTTCCTGTGCCGGGAAAGCAACTAAATACATGCCGCTGCATGCCCTCTCTGATGTTTTCAATGGGACTCTTCAAGTCGTAGAAAGAGACTGACTCTGCAAAGTTGTCCACTCTCCAACACAACCACTAAGCCACTAAGCATTCCACCTTGATGGCGTAAAACAAGCAGCAGAACCATTGCTGTTCTCGAGTTGGTGGAGGCTGCAAGCAGGTCAACACAGCACATGACTTAAGACGTGAGATGACTTGCTGGTGCTGGTGCGAATCATTTCAGGATATTCAGGATATGGGTTGGGCATGGTTGGGCCTCATCAGGCTCTCCAAGCTTTTCCATAGAGAGCATACTGGTGCGAGACGCGGACTTGACCCTGAGGAGCTCAATGTGCTGTGCAATTCCTATCAATCTGGACTAAGCATAGCAGAAGTGTCAATCTGTCAAGTGGAATCCACTCTTTCTTCTCTACAAAAGGCATGTCTTTTAACCAGCTTCGGGCGTGTCTGCCACATGTTTCATCACCAACAAGCTGAGTCCATCGCATCCTTGGGCTCAGCTTTGCTGCGGATGGGCTTCGGCTCCTCGTTCGCGATCCCGACTCAATCTTCGCATCAGAGATGATCAAATCAACTAACCCCACCATTTCAATCCATCTCAATCCATCTCATCTCAACCCATCTCAATCCATCTCAATCCATCTCAATCCATTTCATCGTTTTTGGGGCCATGTGACATCATGTGACTAAGTCACTGGCATCCAGCTGCACTGGTGGCTGAGCTTTCCCATAGACGGACTTGCCTCCCTGCAGTGCGGATCGATATCAGCCCCAGTTGCAAAGATTGTTCAAAGGGTACCCTCCGACGAAAAACTATATGGCTGGCTGGGACATGTCCTATAGAAGGGGCATTTAAATTGGACCTGGGACAATCATCTGGAAATGCGGCATTTTCCAGTCATGTTTGATGAAACCAGAGGGTATGTCCGATCTTTCATCAGCGAAAGAACTCAGGTTCAGGCGAAACATCGTCAGCACACTCCTCTACTTGAGCAGTGTTCAAAACCGTGTTGAGTCGTCTCTTTGTACTGGTTGGTTAATGGGATTTCCCATAGTGGATCGTGATAGTCCCCGATATAGAGGGATTTCAATTAAGTCATCGATCAAGAGGGATTTGAATACTGCTCACTGAGCATTGCAGAATCAATGGAACGTGCCAAGAGAAGCCCGAGAGAAAAAGCCCCTGATATATCCTAATGTCATGACACGTTGTCGACAGGTTGTGACAGAAGCACTTGAAGAGGTATGATGCTATGCCATAGATGGGGTTGAGGTAGGGTGGATCATATCGTCATTTCAACTTGCATGCGCAGCTGATGCTACGTTAGGTCATGACATCTTGTGCAACTTGTACGCCCACTGCTAATGACTGCGGATAATAACCTTCTCTGCAATTGGCCAATGCACATGATGGTATTTTATATTCTTTTGCAATTGGGGTCCCTTGATTGGGCCTGCTACCTCGCACAGTACAATTTGTTTTCTGGGAAAATGGCAATGCCTTTGACAGCAGTTACAGTACTGGGAAACGTGATCCTGATGGTGATGATGATCCTGGTGATCCTGATGATCCTAGCCCAAGAAAGGTAGAAACCTGGACCTAGACAAAACAGAAATGCAACACTAGTTCACAAATGCCATGCCTCCTTCCCTCAAAAGTCACTTTTACTTGCACGCTAGAAGCTCCGCCGGCTATTCCTGTCCTTCTGGGCTGCTTTTCGATTCACTTTCACCTCAAGGTGTGGTGGTTAGGGCGATGGGGGACTGCTCTGGCACTTGCCATCACTTGCCTCTTCCACCGTTCTGGAGAACTTGTGTGGAAAATTGGGGTGTGCTTGCAAGCAGAGTCCCTGGCAGGCGGCAGTATGAGACAGGGTGCACACAGCTTGCCGACTGGAATTTGCCAGCAAACTCTTTCACAAGAAATTTTGCCAAGGTCGTAAAACATCTCACTGCCTAAGTTAGAACTACTGCATGGATACAAATTGATACAGTCTAGACGTTTGGCTTACTGCGACATAGAACTGCATGGGTAACCGTGAGAAAATCATGTGGAAGGCACGGAGTAACACCGGCCCGTCTCCGCATCATATGCGACAATGACATGGACTTCGGCCACCTCACTGACCTGAGAACTACCAGCTGCATACAGATTTGTCGGATGTTCCAAAAACGTCTTTCAATTTCTGCTGGTAAGAGAGCAACTTGTACATAATCTCCTCCTTGCTTAAAGGATCCGGGGAAGAAAAATTCAACCTTCAGCCAGGCTGAAGGAGTACACTGCAGCATTCATGCAAACCACATGACTCCGGACTAAGGAAGTGGAACCGATTGGAACAGTGGCGTGTGACCAGCGGGTCATCGCTTCCATGGATGGAGTCATCCCAACAGTTCTAGTTCAGCAAGACCTGATGCCCTCATTATCTGTATATCAGTGGCTGAGGCGTAGACGTTCCCAGGCCGCGTTAAGAGGATCTGCTGAGATTTGGCCAAAGGAGTGTAAGTTGCTGTTGACCATATGGATGGCGGAGCAGTCTGTGCAGCCGATTGGAGATAGATGATGCAAGATGGGCGCATGCTCAGCAAACATCACAAGGCAGGCTTTGTGGAACCAAACAGGTTGACAGGGCTCGAAGGGGAGACTGCCATTGGAGATGCTTATGTCAAACAGTTTCTGACACACACACACACGTGCTCAGGTTCGTAACTTAAATTGCAAGAGACCCTCTACTAGCCGCTAGCCCAAACTGTGAACCATGAACTGGAAACATTGAAAACATTGGAAGCACAGAAAACATTGGAAACGTTGGAACATGTTGGAAACATTGAGCAAAAAGACCCAGCCGAGGCCCAGCCTTTTCTAGAGTCTCTGCCTCAGTTGCCACAGTTGCGAAACTGAAACGGTCGTTGAGCTCTGAAGGGAGTTGTTCTGGATCTGCTCTGGCTGTTTCTGAGCTCCAGGCCCATTCTTGGGCACCTCGTAAAGAGAAGTACTGACCCATCTTGCAAAAGCGTTTCCTATTCTCTGGATCGTTGGATCATCGTTGGCTATGTTCTTGTTGGCACAATAATTGGAGCATAGAGACCATGGAGCGTATGCTGCCCTGTGACACCCTATGCAGTGAAAACGCTAGGGGAAGGAGAGATTGCTGGCAGTTTTTCTTTGCATATGCTGCTAACAACAGATCTTTGTGTACCTAAGCTGCTGGTATTGGCAGGCTGATCACTTTTGAGCCTTGACAGCAAATGCCGCGTAATGTCATGAGTTGTAAGGTGGTGCTGATGCAAAATGGAACATGTCTGCATCCACCAAGTTGGCAAGTATACGATTCTTTTTCACCGCTTTCTTTCATTTCCGATGAGACTTGCAGAGTCCAATTACATATCCACAACTCTTCTACTACGTTCTCCTTTGGGAACGTGACATGTTCTCCCTGGGTGATATGTACAGCTCGCCTCCAAAGCTCACTCAAAGCGGCTCTTCGTGAAACAGGTCACTGCAATGGCCACGAGCACCGCTTGGAAGAGAAAGTGCCCCATCATCCCCATCAGGAAGAATTGATATCCAGCCTCAGCAAAAAACATCATACTTTATATACTTTGGTTGACACAACTTCTTTGGCAGATTTTATCAGCTTTTCAGGCGCAGCTTGCCAAGCACTGGACTCGTTCGTCATTCAGCATTTGCTCATGGGTGTCGCCAGTCCATTCAAAGAAGAGTGGATGAATTGCCTTGCAAGTTGGCAGCATTTAGCATTTACACGCTGCAATTTTATGAATAGAGTTATATCTCTAATCTTTCCCATTAAATCACCCATTTATAGATGATTTTCGGATGATTTATAGATGATTTTCCCATGAAATCACCAATTTCTAGATGATTTCGCCAGCAACTTAAACCTTCCATTCATCGATGATTTTCCCATGTGCGACTCGCAGCACCTTGATCGCGTGAGCTGACTGTGCTTGTTGCACTGCAAGCCTGGAGCAGTTAGGCAAACAAAGGATGGGGTTGTCTGGAAATAGTAGATGTACATAGGATATCCCTCCGGTTGATCATCATAACCATCCATCATTATCCATCCCATATCATCCCATATCATCCCTATCAAAATGGGAGAATTTTCCCATTTCCAGACACCCCAGGATCAAGCGCAGTTCATTTCATCCCACCTGTAGAAGTCCCGATCGACATCGTCCGTGACTCTGACACCACCCTTGGCTTCCTGGCTTTTATACCTGCCATGCTAATGCTCGAGCTTCAGTGATACCCACCATGACACAGTCGTGAGCTCCAGACCAAGTTGATGAAAAACATGCTGGTGAAACGCACCGCATCTGAAGTCTGCAAGCTGATCTGAGCAACAGTTCTTGCCCACGGCCCAGAAGTCGTAGGACCTCAGAACCAGCAGCGATCCTGAAAATCTCAATCTGACGCCGTGAAACCATCGCTGGGCTTCTGGCGCCAGTGCCGCATTGTTGACGGTGATTGGAGCAACCTGTGGCTAGTGGCTGTGATTGTCACATCTTGACTAGATCCACTCTAGTTCTTGTGCCTAAGATCAAATAAGACAGATGCACCCATTAAAGCTGTCTGTAGACTGCTGATTCTGATATCTCTTTGTATCAAGTGAAGAGACAAACACATATTTTTTCATGAGCTTGTTTTGTGGCTCGGTGTGTGATACCGGAACGGAGAATTCCCAAACAACCTAGTAAATGACTTGCTGGTGACTTCAACCTTCCTGCAAGAAAACACATTGGTAATTGGGGATGATCATCCTGGATATGGAAAAGAAAAATGTTTGAAACCACAATCACATGCTCTGAATATTCCTCCAAACTGTTGGTCTGTTGTCGCTCCAGTATGGGTGAGAGTGACGCAATAAATGTCTGTGTTCTTGAAGCCATTGGCCAGGTTGAGGTTGATGTTTGCACCAGACACAAATTGCACTCTTCCCGCATCCATGAGTTCCTGACAAGCAAGGACTTCCCTACTTCAGGCGAAAAATCACATCTAGATTCTGCCTTGACCTTTCCATTGCATTTGGATTGCTTACAAACAACAAAATACAGTTGCAATTCCAGCAAACCCCTCCTGGCCACGCATTGTTGCTGGATTGACCTCCACGAATGCATTCAGGGACTGCACATCGTAAATACCTCTCATATTCTTCGAGTAGTTGTAGCCTCGGCCAAGTGAATCGCTTTGCGAAATCATTGGCAAAGTGATGCAAGCTGATGCACAGTGATGCAAAGCGAGGGATTTCTGGAGTTTCTGATTTGTAGTCATGGCTCTGTAACTCATACCTCCTGTTCCTCTCTGAGCCTAGAGCTCCCCATTGGCACACCAACGCCAAAAGCTACAGCAGCTGTAACGGCGATGAATAGTGCCCAAACTGCAAATCTTCCTGCAGTTGACAAACCCTTGAGACAGGTTTGTTCCCCTATTGTTCACCACTACATTTACCAGCACCTCGTGTGATTCTGTCCTGTTTCAACAAGGGAAGATTGGCCGAATAGAGCTCTGCACGAAAGTTGGACCTGAGAAACTCTGGGTCAGAAGATTTAAGACTGACTTGTATCCAATCTTTGTGAGGTACCAGTACAGTCAGCCACATCTGCGCAAGACGACATCAGGAGCGGACTCTGTACAGGCAGTAAAGACCAACAATAAGGCCCAGGATCACCGTAATAGCTAGGACCCTCAGATGGCAATGCAATGAAGCTACCTTTCATGCCAGACCACATTGCTATGCACGATCAATTCATGGCCTTTGTTTTAGCCAAGCGTCTTTCCTGGTGCGGTATATCGCAGCTGGAAAGACCAAAGTGCAAACATGGTAATATACCTTGGCCCATCGGGATCGGCCACTGGACCACTAGGCGTGGCTTTCGCGGTGAAACTTTGCCAAGGAGCACAGCCCAGGGCAGGAAAAGGGCTGCAAGAACACCCAGCAGGTTGATCCGAGTTCGCGTTGTCATCTGAAAGCACGGTGGGAGGGTCTGGTTGCGATTCTGGATTCTCTGGGTCAGACTGAGACTCCCCAAGAAACATCGATAAACCAGGTAGTTTAACATAGTTTAACTCAGCTGCAATCAACAGGGCTTTTGGTAGTCAACTCAGCAAGGCCTGTGGTGGTCCCATCAATGGCTTTGCAGGCCCCATGTCCTGCAACCAGCTTCTGGAATAAAATTAAGCACACCCTGGAGCAAAGCTAAAGACCTTAAATGCCACGAAATACTTCGGTCCTGTCCATTGAAGTGGCTGTATGGATTTCCTGTCCAAATGGAGTTGTTTCAAAATGTTTCAAGGTTGTTGGGATTTGCTCAAATTAGTTGTGCTCTCTTCTGCTGCGACTAACACTCCAGCCTGAGAATCCTCCATAGTTGTCCTGCAAAGAGCTAGACACATCTCAATCTCAAACCTGTAGCTAGACCGTGGGTTAGCCTGGAATGATGCAGAATCTGGATGTCATCTTTGGGAGAAACCCACTTGATCCAACCTAAAAGTCTTCATCAGTGCATTGAAAACTGATCGTGTTTCCTACGTGTCAAAAGCACAAACACAGTGATGCCATATGGGCCATATTCCAATACAATAAAGACCATGCCTTTTGCTATCTGAAACACAAAAAACATCCTGCCTTGGCATACATGATGGAATCCGATGGAGAAAATGCTAAGGGTTCTTCTAGCCTTAGCTGAGCGGATGCTGAGGCAGGAGCTTAGAGATATAACCGCAGCACCTGAGGGACCTACAGGTGAGAGCCCTGAAGCACCACAGCAAGGCTTCAGTTGCACAGGGTTCACTATCTGGAAATGTTGGCTCGGTGAGATTCTGAGCCCAGGTGCTACGGGGCGAAGTTGTTGCAGGTGGGACTTCTTCGAATCGGGACAAGAAATGCCAATACGATGGAAAGCTCATACAATGGCCTTCAAAACTGGCATGGCGAAAATAGTGCAGGTGCAGGGCGTCTTTTGCGAAGATTTCCGGAATCGCTCTGGCCATCATCAGAAAGAGCTCAACAATCACAGGAAACATAGACAATCCAAACTTCTTGTTTTTCATTCATTCTATTTTTGTACAAAAAAGTCAATCTGCACACGAACGTGAGGCAGTTGCCAGCTGCTGAAAAAATAAACACATGCATTCGCTGATTTTCTAAGCATGTTTCCTTGCTGGGTAGAGTGGGATGTTCACTTGCAAGTGCAGAATATATTGGACGATTCAACACTACTCAGATGTATTTCGGCCATGACTGACTCCTCAAGTGGATCATCCTCGCTGTTTCACAATAGACACCTCGCTGGCCCTGCTGTGTGCTTGGCTCGACAAGCCTACTGCCTCACATGCACAGTGCTGCGGTCAGGCAGGACATCGAGGTGGCAAGAGCCGCGCGCACGGTGTTCCATCCAGTCCTGGCAGTCGCTCAAACGGTGTCTTTGGAAGATATAAGTGTGTACAATGATGTAACTCTATATTATATATATACAAACATAATATACATAATATATGTATATACATAATATATGTATATACAGAATATATGTATATAGATACATATATCTACACATCATATAATATATGTATATATATATACATATACATACAATTAATTACACTTGCAGTATATATATATATGATTATATATGTGGGTGGTATGGGGTCAAACCCTGTTGCCCTCTTAAACACCAACATTTAGCAGGTAAATGTATGATAAACGGATGATCATTGAAGAAATTACCATATGGTCCCATCATGGCCCATAAAGCGACCCATTGCCAGCCGGCTGTCCTCCAGCTGGGACTCTGGGCAAGCGCACTGTGCACGATAATATTGATATTTGCAACGTGTGTCCTTGCAGCGTTCATTTGGGGTGCAGCAGAGAGAACCAGAATGAGTCGCATCACCACCAACACGCTTGTCTTCACCCTTACTGTTTTCTTGATGGTCGTCATCATCATCATCATCACCACCATCATCATCACAACCACCACCATCACCATCATCACCATCATCACCATCAGCATCAGCAGCATCATCAGCATCGTCATCATCATCACCACCATCATCATCACCGTCATCACCATCGACACCATCATCATCACCACCACCACCAGCATCATCATCATCATCATCATCAGCAGCAGCAGCAGCAAATACTTAGATACGTTTAGCTTAATTTTCTTGTAATCTTCTACACTCATGTGATCAGTTTGATCTCGGATGCTCAACAGTCAGTGCCTCCTGTGACATGAATGCAGCACTGGCAGGGTATCAACACAAGTATCACCTATTAGTTGATTAGCATTTTCTGAATGATGTCTTGTCACAATGCTCTGGCAATCCCTGCTCGTGTCAGCTTTTGCTTGCGTCCTCTTCCCCCAATTCGCGAGCACAGCGGGCAAAGACAATGAAGCGCAGAATGCAGTGGTTCGACTCGACAGCGCTCAGCTTGCGCTTCCCACACATGTCAAGATGCAGCACTTATCAATGGGTATATATTCCCCAAAATTGTAAATGGAAACCATGATGACAAATATTGATAAACTGATAGACCATGGGATTTTTTGGGTACTCATTTTCAGACAAACCCATTCGGTCTTGCCATCAAAATAAGATGAAGTGCCAACCCTCTGCCTGGTTGGTCAAGGACAGGAACCTGGGGTCATCCTGCGCTCACGGTGAAGTGCCGCGACAAAAAACCTAACCACTGCAATGGTCGCTGCAATGGCTCGCACAACCCGACTCTTTTTGGCTAGCTGGTCCGGCTGGTCCGCATCTACACATCCGTCAAAGCTAAGATGTTGCCCTTGGGTTTGCTGCGAATCTTGAGAAAAGTACTGTAGAAGGACACCAACAGAAACGCACACAAAAACAGAGTTGTGGATTTCAAGTGCAACATCTCTAGCTCAGCTTCCCAGCTTGCTGTCGGGGGGTCGCTGGCGTCGCATGCGCCCGAACTATGAAAAAAGGGGGATTGCTGGCAGCTGCTTCACGAGCAGTGATTCTGCCCCACAGGCCAGATCAGGGATCACTCCCTACAAGATTGTGCATCGAAGATCCTGCAGGACCAGCTAGGTGTTTGAACACAAATGTGGCTTTGCTAATTGCATGGCAGTCCTTGAAAGGGTCTCCACTGCAAAACAGCTCAAACCTGAGGAACATCACTTTCCACATCCCCAGTGTAAGCGAGAATGTTTTCCATTATTTTAGTAACATCCCCAAAAAGCTAGAAAAACAATTTACCATCATTATAGTAGGATTTTACAGCTATCAATCTTTTTTCGTGTTGCATTTTTTAAAACGTTTTCTATGATTTTCGAACCTTACTGAACCACATCACATCCGCATCCAAGCAACCATGGTTGCCAATCCAAAAGCCCTGTCTGCGAAGAAGCGTCCGATCTCTTCTTCGATGACCTTTGGAGGCCTGCCGATCTGTCGAAGTGTCATGGATCTGGTTGGTTGATAGGTATCCCGTTGATTGTTGCTTGTAAACAATCATAACATGTAGGTATATATAATAAATAAATAAATGAATAAATGATTACATGAATAAATTAATATATCTATATATGAATATAGATAAATAAATAAACACATAAATAAATATAAATACAAATAAATAAATACATATAAATATAAACAAACAAATACATATAAATATAAATATGAATATATATATATATATACGTAAATACATAAATAAATATATGATAATATGTAAATGTAAGTACATATATATATATATATACATACATACATTACATTACATTACATTACATTACTTTACATTTACATTTACATTACCATTACCATTACCATTCCCATTCCCATTCCCATTCCCATACCATACCATACCATACCATACATACATACATTACATTACATTACATTACATTACATTACATTACATTACATTACATAACATACATACATACATACATACATACATACAACACACACACACACAGACAGACAGACAGACAGACATACATACATTATACATGTCTATTTATCATAGACTACTGTATAGATATAGACACACCCCAATAGATCAGCTAGCACACACACACACACTATAACCCCTTATAATACCCAATCAACTGTGGTATAATAGCAATTGCTCGCGAGGCAGTTCACGGAGGCCTCTCATCACCAGGATACACTTCCACGTCACCAACCACGGCAGTGTCCCTTAGTTCACAAAGGATTGGCTTTCAGCACCAGCATTCTGCATCCAAGTGAAGCAGCACTCACAGGCAACGGTTGCGACGTGTGAGCATGCCCTCTAATGCGTCTAATGCCTCTAAGTTCTAGAAGATCAAGTTGCTTGGTGACAACTCCGCACTCTTCAAGCAGCTTCAGGTCTGGAACATATCTCTCCTGTGCGAGGCAAAAGTGTGCAAGAACGCCGGATTCGTGCAGTGTCCAGCAGCATACAATGTCAAAGGCTCAAAGGGAGTTGGCAACTCTCTTTCCTTGGAGTGGTCGACCAGAACAAAGTCTGCTGGTTCTTGCTCCAACCTGCCAGGATCTAACTTCCTTGCTTGCAGGTAAAAAATGAAAAAGGTGACATCTTTCCGCCTGGTTGTGATGTTGGCAATCTCAGAGTGAACCGTTCCCATCCAAATCTTTACCTCGGTCGTTTGCGGGCCACAGTCGTGCCAAGCTACCAAGCTGCTTCAAACATCACGGATATCCACGGGGCCTTGTCGTCCAGCCCAGCAAATTCGATGATTTTTGTTGCGATGGCAGCAAACAGTTCATCCTCACGGAGGCCAAAGCGAGGATTGTTCATGTGGCTGGAATGTCATGCCTCAGGACTGATCATGCTATCTTTTCACATCCTTTCACCTTCTCTGGACTCTTTTGGACTCTCTTGCTCTCAAGACTGGCGCCCGACTACTTCAACCAATTCCTGTCCTTCTCAACGCTAAGGAGCTTTCCTCCCTCAGGCAAATTCCTAGCTATTCGGAGGGCACTGTAGCCACCTGAGTTCCGCAATGATTTCCAACATGTTGTAAAGGAAGAAACGTTCGACCACTGCAGCTGGAAGACAATAGGTGCCCATCTCAAGACATCGAACAGGAGTGTTCTTTCCCTCCTCCGTGCGACGGTTTCAAACAAAAATACAAGTTGCAAGTTGCATGCACAGTGTTGGCTCAGTTGGCTCGTGTTTACTTGTTCAACTTATGTTCAAGTCTTCTCCTTGGCTTGGACCTTTTCTCTGACGGCTTCTTCAATTTTCAGGCCACGCACATTCCACTTCTCTGCACCTACGAGATTTTGGCAGCAACATTCTGCACCCCCATGCGGCAGATGATATTATTATTCATGTCCACAGCATTTCGCAGCAAAACAGCAGGTAATCATCACAAGTCACCAAAGACCACCATGCCGCATGCCTTGTGCTTGAAATGTCTTGTTCCAGAAAGCGTCCATTGCTGCCAGGACCTTCTGCACGAAAAAAGTGGATCAAAATAGGGATGCTAAGTGGTACCAAAGCTGACCCAAATCTAAGATCAGGGTCTTAAACTTTCATAAAATTTGACTCCCTCATCCAAAATGCAGGTGGCAGGTCTGAAATTGCCACATCATGGCACGCTGTCGGGATTGCCAGGCTCGGCATTGGCCACGACATGTTCCAGAAGGAGTCTTTCTAGGCCGTGCATGGCTTGGCTGCCCATACGTTGGACCTGTCCTTTGGCCTCCGCGGGTTTTGGCGTTTGAAGGGGGGAATCCAGGACAGAATATGACAGAATATGACAACTGCTGTCCCAGTAGCTATGAGTACGATAATACGACATTACTCAAACATGAGCCAATGGAGTTTTGGCATGATCCCAGTGCCTCTGCGGTGACCATGTCAGGTGCGAAGGAACGAGGCTGAACTGGGAAGACCTGCTAGTACGGATTGCATTGTGAGAAGTACTGAGCAAGAACTACAAAATCAACAAATGCAGCACTGCAGCAATGGAGAAAAAACGACAAATACACGTGCTATGCGAAGAGGGCAATCATCACATTTTTTCTCTGCAGTGAGAATACAGAAAGAAGAGTAAAGGAAGAAAACGTCTTGCCTCAGGGATGCTATCATTGACAACGTCACAGACTTCTTTCATCCATCCGTGCTTATCTTCAACTTCTCCACCTCAATGTAACGAAATGGCAGGGTTAGAAGCAGCTCGGCCAACAAAAAAGATGTCTCCACTCCAATGGTCTGTGTCTGACTTACAATGACCTTGTTGTAAGATTTTCAACAATTCTGTCTTTCGCACTGAGAAACAGCTTGGACTCCGACACTGAATTGCCGTAAGCTCACTTCGCAAGCTAGAAATCACATCCTTTGCATAGCCAGGTGGAGGGAAAAGAAGTCTGTCAACAGCATGCTTCCACACAGTTTCCCACTCATGTAGCAACAGGGACTGCGCTGCGACAAATGTATGTCAACCACACAGGTCGCAGTGCATGCCAGCGTCAAAATCATCGAACGTAAGGGTCGTCTCTCCATGAGTAATGGAGTTCACTTTCACCACCACAGCTGCGGTTCCGCACATACCTCGTCATTTCACAGCATGCAATAGGATTCAATAGGAGCAGCTTCGACAAAGCTTGAAGCAAAATTAGGCCAAAACCATGATGAACCTAAATCCAACTTTCAGCCAAAACACCCACTTCTTTGAGGTTTCCGATTTCCTTCTCAAAGTCGATGGGTCTCTCTTCAACAATCATGCCGCGGTCCCGTGCAAGCTGCTGAAGCATGATGTTTGTTGTTGACTGCAAAATCGTGTCAGACTTGGGCGTCACGTAGCGGCCGTCCTCTGCAGGAAAAAAAACAACGGAATGCCCAATCCAGTGAGTTTAAAGTTTAAACTTACTTTACGTGGACATCGAGGACCCTGGCGTACATGCGCAAACAAGCTTTACATAAAAATGAAAAATCTACAAAATAAATCATAATAATATACAAGTTTATACAAGATCATCAAATAATCCACTCTCGCTCCCAGCCCTGCCTTGGTAATTCCAACAAAGTTGCACACCGAGAACTCCTCGATGAACTTCCTTTCTTTGGCATCTAAGTAGAGTGTGGTATTGTAGCCCTCTGCATGGGCCGAATGCACTGGAGCGATATCTGCGGCGTAGTTGCCAGCAGCCTTCACGGCACCCAGCCCTTTGGGAGCAGCACGGTCGTGGTTGTTGCTCACTAGAGCCTGACCAAAGGCCACGAGACTTGAGACAGTCCCTGAAAGAGCCCGAAAGCATGATAATCATTGATAATGATTGATAATTAAACATCTCTTGTGTACTGAACTACCACACTCTTTGAAACACATGGAATCAAATGCATGGCGATCACGATCTTTCTTTGCGTGCCTTCACGCCGACCTCGCTGCCCTTTCCAAAATATCCACCAGCTGGCAGGACAGTGACAAAAAAGGTATATTCGCTCGCCAACGGCGCCAAACCCAACATCTGGCCACTTGCAAAGAGCAATGGCCGCACGTAGAGCGATGCATTGTTTCCTTGTACAACAAGCTGCTCATTGGATGAAACCGGCAAGAACATGCCAAAACAGTCAAAACATCTAATTGTTGGTTTGGTCTGCTTGCCAATCAGCCATAATGAACCATTAATGAACCGAGATACCGTAAGGTGGAACAAATTCTCTGTTTCGTCTGATGGCTTCCATCACCCCGTTGATGAACATGTCCGTCGGCACTTGGGGCATCCTTACCATCTTGCGACGGATGCTACAGCTGATGTGTTGGGGCTGTTTGCTGCCCAAGACTTTGTTGACCCATAAAGGATAAGAAAGGATAGGTACTGTACCCCTTGGGCTAGTTTTTTTTCATCTTTTTTCCTGTTTACAATATAGCAATGGAAGGCAATTGATGAGTACTAAACTTCAGTTTCAGGCATAGGTGTCCACCATCTTTGGCTGAGAAATCCAGTGCTTCACCCCGCATTATTCTAGTTTCATGATGTTTCATGTATATTTCAACTTGACTTGCGCAAGCTGGATCCCCAATCCGCAGCTCAGGGACAGCAGGGCATCAGCACCTTTCTGCATTCGTTGGGCATTCAGCTCCGGATTCAGCAAGCGGATCTTGCCATCCTTACAAGCAAAGGCCTGGCAGTGCGGATGAGCCATGCCATGCCATGCCTGGGCAGTGCCATCTTCGGTTGTGCCCAAAGTCGGTGGCACCTTCATGCCTTCAAATACTGACACACCATAATGCAGCGCTCCTTAGTTCTTGAAGCACTGGGCGTCTGAACTGAAATTTCTGGCAAAGGATGGGAAACAAGCATAGTGATCCGCAAAAACCCTCTTCGGCCAAAGTGAATTCTGCTGGAATTAATCTGGCTGTTTGCTCTGTTTCCTTAGGCTGAAATTGTGGTTTGGAAGGAAGAACTTTGCAGAGCCTGACTATCGACTATCGGTCACCAAGGTGTAATTCTTCCTTCCCCAGGAAAAAACCACCTTCACACACTTCTGCAATTCATCTCCACTATTTTTGTCAAGGCTCCTGCATTGATGTGCATCAGTTGGTATGGAGCTGGAACAAAAACACCCGAGTCCCAGTTGCCATCTGCATAGGTATACCTCATTAGCAACAGCAACTGCAAAGTGTGTCTTCAAATCGGTGTCACAGGTCTGTCGATTTTGCTGGCCTCACGTGTCCATTCATTGGCCGAATGGAAAAACCCAGGTTGTCCCATTTCTCTGCCAGCTCTTCTCTCCTGCGTCCAAAGATGGAGACTCAACACTAACATCACTAACCAACCAGGCAAAGTGTGCTCCACTGAGAGTTTCTTGGTCTCCAAAGTCCTGGTCTTTCGGAAAAGTGGAGTGCTGTATGCCTGGGCTTGTCGCATTTAGCTGCTCTCAGGCTTAGCACAAGAGACTTCCAACATGACGCTGACGCTGAATGGCATTGCTCTGGCTGCAATCAAGAGGCATACTGGCTCCTGAGACCACAAAAGAAAAACTGATTATTTTCAGAAATTGATCGTGGCCATCATTTTCTTTCACATGTTTTTTCCACCATGACCAAGCCCCTCGCCACTCGGCCGAAGAAAAACTTCGCGCTAGCTTTCGGCACCTGGCATCTATACTGGGGGGTATTTGTAGAACACTAAATCTATCTAAATAAATGCATCCAAATAAGATAAATACCCATAAGTACATCCAACTAAAATCTAAAATACTGCAACTCATTCAACTGCTGTCGCGGCTGCAACTGATGCACCTTACAAGGCCTTGAAGTGGGCTTCGCCCATGGAGCCTGGAGCTGAATGCAGCAATCCAACTCTGGTCAACACAAGGGACAACAACAACACCCCAAATCCTGGCATAGATTGTCTTGAAAGAGTTTTAAAGGCCTACATTGAAACATTTCATGATCGTTTTTTGCCTTTCTGCGACACCGGTTGTCTTCCTGGCGCCAATCCTATGACCCCGCCTCGCAATACTCATTGTGATTGCAACACCTCCACCTGACACCTCATGAAGTCTATAAAAGCTGGATTTGAGCCAAGCTAACTCGGCCGTATCCTGAAGAAAACTGTCACCTCACCAAAAAACACTGCGTGTTCAAAGACTCAATTCACACGTCAAAGGAATGCACAATGTTCCATTCAACTCATTCAAGCAGGTTCCACAGCGAAGGTTTGGGAATTTCATCCGGATCAACTGTGCGAGGAAAGCACATCACATTCTTCCTCTGAGAAGAACGTAACTAGCCTCCTGTAATCAAACATGGCAATGGAACATCCCCATGTATATATATACGATTATATACGTATGTATAGATGATTTTGCCATTAAAACCTCCATTTAGTGCGGGGATTTCCCATTGCCATGTGCCAAGTGCGATCTGTGATGCATCTGGGAGAGGGAGAGCGCACCATGTGAGGATGGGCAGCGTTGACAGCATCAAGGTGCCCAGCACTGAAGACCTTCTCTTTTGTGCTCGTCATGTTTCGCCTGTCATAGAAAGACATCGATGCAATCTGGTGTGTATCATGATCTCACTTCCGTCACCTGGCTAGGTTTCGCTTCTCGCTTGCGCTATTTGTTGCAGAATGGTGCAGAGCGGTTGTGGATTGATGGATGATCTGTTCTTCACTTAGAAAACTGAAATAATCTGAATATGAAATATCGAAAGGACTGGCTCAGGCGCCTGCTTCTGCTCCGAATCAAAACCTTGCGTCAGCGGAAATATCTTTCGCTGTTTTGTAACAATGCCTTCACTAGGCAGTCTTCACGGTTCGTGGATCATGCCTCCCGGCAAGCACCCCACTTGCATCCCCTTGCGAGCCAAGTTGCGGAAACCAAGCAATGCAATGGGGAAGAGCTTGAGCCAGGCAACGGGGCCATTGCAACATGTTGCAACACCAACAACGACCAAGACGCCGTTTCACCATGTGTAACGCAGTCTTACAATGAAAGTGAACGCATACATGCACAACTGAGGATAGAAACGCTTCGCCAGGGCATCTTTTCCAGACATCCTTTTGTCGGTCAAAATTCCTGTCCTATCATATCCTATGACTGGCTGATGCAGCGCATTGCTGCCCAAAACCCTGTACAAGAAATTCAAACAGCTGGAGTGCCTACAGACCCCAAGATTTCAGCCAATGCATTGGATCTTGTCGCGGCAGCCTTTCAGCTGGAAGCCGGACCCTGCCCTAAGACAAGCCGGAGCAGCTCTGGTGGAAGTCCAGGCTTCAAGACAATCGGAGCCAGGAAGTCAATGTCAGCGCCCCACAAAACGACGAAACCCATGAGACTGCGTCCTGTCAAGTTGTAGGTGCGGGTGTTCGAGCACTGATCTCCACCAGCTTGGAAGAGAACTTGCTGCTGCCCCTGGTCCCAGACCTGGAAGCCCTTCGTGCCTTCGAGGAAGGTACTGAAATTCCCCGGCAAAGTGCTTGGAACATTCCAGGTGCCACCTGGGTTTGGCCCATGGGATCCGACATGGATCTTTTCTCCAGAGGCGAATGTCAAGTCCATACCTTTCAAATTTGGACTCTGATCTGACTCAGACACAGGTCCCGAGAAGAAGGTATCCACTATCTGTAGCACTGCAGGCGTGGATGCGTGAATGATATTCCAGGCTGCAGCTCCTTTTGGCATGTGGGTATCTCCTGGAGCTTTGAAGTCCACAACATGGTTGATGTCCGGAAGGACAAACTCCAAGCAAGTCAACCCGGTTTTCCGCTGCATGTCAAAGAGCTGCTGCAGAAGGAAAGGCCCCACAGAATCGCCGCCTGCAGAGAAACTAAAGTTGTCAACTGCCTCATGTCCGGCACGGACTAGTTGCTGTGCACCCCAGTTCACCATGTCCAGGCCAGCATGCGCCACAACCTTGACAGCCGGCTTGAGAACAACGTTCCACATGAACTGCCCAAGGAGGCCGAGAAAGCCAAACGATTTGGGAGGCTCTGTAAGGGTCTCAAGGGTCTGGGGGATTTGATGATTTGACGTCAGCTTCATGACCAGGTTTCGTGTTCTTCGGCAAGTCTCAAGCAAGGTCAACTCCTCCTTGAGGGCTTGGGCATAGGCATAAGCCACGTTTGACACCCTTATTGCAGCCCCATCCTTCATCACCGAGTTGTTCCCGATAGAGTTTAATGTATTGTCTTGGCAGCCGAACAAGATCACGAAGTTTGACCCCTTAATCGCCATATTGTCCATGAGCGGCACATCGTCAATCTTGGACTCGCGGCAAAGGTTCCAAACCACATGATTCACTCCTTCCTTGTTCAGGATCTGAAGCTCATTAATGAGATGTTTCAGGCGCGAAGATTGCTCCCACTCGCCGAAGTGCTCCTCAAGGTCGACATCTACAGGGACCAGAAGCGAGGCACCCCCTGCTGTGAAGCCGTGTCCTTCAACCCAAACCAGAACCATATCTCCATTCTTGATGTAATTCTGAAGGTGTTTCTTCCAGTCACTCACGAACGTGGACATGTCCTTCACCGTCAGATTATAGATCGGCGGCACGATTTTGACATTTTGGTCTCCAAACTTTGACCGAACCGCCTTCTTGATGAGCTCATAATCATTTTTCACCACATCATCTTTGATCTTGTTTTCCCCCAGATAATCGTAGTTGCCGACAAAGGCCAGGACGCATGCTCTGCTGTCTTTTTTGGCAGCGGCTTTCGAAAGTGCCATCTGCGCCCCCTACGTCCCTACGCCTGCAGGCACCCAACACCCAACAACCTTGAACGAATTGGTAAAGTGGCTGCCACACTGTTTGCGGTCATTTCGCGACAGCATAATGAAGACAATGGCAGTATGTGGGAGACTCATGCAAGATCACTGCAGGGAGAGAGCTTGAAAGAATGACCACATATGACCACAAATCCAAGAGCATGCAAGGCTGACCAAGTGAGCAGTTTTTTTTGAAATTGTTGTGGAAACACTTCGTGTAGACTACCTCTCAGTCCGCGTAGCCTTGCTTAGCCTCTCGCGTAGGGGAAGTATTATGCGTAGGCACCGCGTAGCTGCCTGCGCAGTAGAAGCAACCTCGCGTAGCCTCTCGCGGAATTCCCTGTGCCGCGTAGCAAGCGCGCAGCCTACTCTTCAGCAAAAATGGTTTCGCGTAGCTTCCGCGAAAGCGATCTCAAAAATTATCCCGGCAAGAGACCCCAAACAATGTTGCAAGGAACATGAAGAAGAGATACTGAGATGCCAGGTTAAATTCTGCAAGTGCCCTTTGTGAAGATCTCTAATTATATAAGATCGTGTGTGTGAGGTTTCCGTGACAGGCTCTGTGTAGAAGCTGGTGTGATCTGGTGTGCAAGATCCCTTTGTAAGGCTATCTGTACAAGGTGTCTATAAGAGGTCTCCACAGAAGCTCTCTGTACAGAATCTCAAAGTAGAATCTCTGTTCAAACGCTCTAGGGTATCTCTGAGCAAGATCTCCATTCTCGTCATGGGGTCTCTGTACCAAATCTTTACAAGAGGTCTCTTGGCAACACCCGTGTACGAGCTCTCGAAAAAGCATCTCCGGGCAAGATCTCTGTTAGAGACCCTACAAGGTGTCTAGAAGGGGTCTCTTGGCAAGATCTCCGCAAGGAGCCTCTTGGCAAGACCGCAACAAATCTTTATGCAATGTCTCTGTACAAGATGCCTAAAAGAGTTCTCTTGGCAAGATCTCTGCAAAGAACCTCTTGGCAAGATTTCAACAAGTCTCTATGCAATGTCTCCGTGCAAGATCTCCATAAGAGGTCTCTTGGCAAGATCTCTGTACAAGCTCCCTATAAAAGGTCTCTTGGCAAGGCCTGTTGCAGAGATCGCTGCGCAATCTCTTTTTGAGAGCTCTCTTGGCAAGATCTCCGTAAGAGACCTCTTGGCAAGATCTCTGTACTGTACAAGATCTCTATAGGTGTCTCTGTGCAAGATCTCTCCGTGGCAAGATCTCTGCGCAAGCTCCCTAGAAAAGGCCGCGATCTGAGAGGCCCAAAGTGACGAGAGGGTTGCGCGAGAGGTCTCCGGGCCACCGTTTCGTGCGGGACTTCCGTCAAAAACGGAAGATGAGGGAGCTTTTGTGCTGTAAGGGTCACCAAATTCGCAGAACGCCCCGGATACCACCTCGAATGAGCTCCCGGCCTTAACACTTACCGTAAGAACCCCCCAGTGTGGCCACACTGTTTGGGGAAAAACACGGCTCAAGTCGGGTCTTTTCGAGGATGGCTGGCTGTGTATTGGACAAGGGTAGGTTTCGTGCAAGGTGTAGGAGTCCTACGCTTGGCTTTATTGTCGGGGATTCGGATTGTGTTGCCTTTTTTGTAAGGATGTCGTTACCAGTTCTGGTTTGGTGTAACAAGTACACCCAGTAGATCCAGGACAAGGAGGGGCCGAAGTTTCCTAAACATGAAACAAGTACTACAGTATATGAAAAGTGTTCGTGAAGCATGTAAAGATGTGAGGATGCGCAAATATGCAGATGTGAAAATGTGAGGATGTGAAGATGCCTTCTCTCTCTCTCTCACGTCTCTCTTTGTTCTCTCTTTGTTCTCTCTTTGTTCTCTCTTTGTATCTCTTTGTTCTCTCTTTGTTCTCTCTTTGTTCTCTCTTTGTTCTCTCTTTGTTCTCTATTTGTTCTCTCTTTGTTCTCTCTTTGTTCTCTCTTTGTTCTCTCTTTGTTCTCTCTTTGTTCTCTCTTTGTTCTCTCTTTGTTCTCTCTCTCTCTCTCTCTTCTTTCTCTCTTCTACCCTGGCGATGACTCTTAGCCAAGCGATGGTACATTGGCACGTGGTGGGACGTGGTGGCACAATGTGGCACACACTTTTTGACTCCGCACTGGAGGCTGAGCGGCGGCTGTAGATTTTCTATTGTTTTCCCAGCCGTTTGGTTTATAAACAGAGGAAAAGTGCAACACAGCACATTGGTTTCCATTGCTCCTCGCTGTTCTTTGCTGAGGATTGGCTGTTCATTGGGATGTCTGGCTGGCAACTTGGACTGCAAGCCGCTGCTGGATTCGGTTCTTTCGCCCCAAGTGTCAGGTATTTGTCAGGCTTCCAACGAACGCAGCATAGAAAGTTTGCCTCGCAGGTCTTGTCAAGTCCAGATGATCCACCTGCGAGCTGCGAGAAATGGCAAGAAACTGGACGAATCATTTTCGCCTTTCAGAAACTCGACGATTCGTTGGCGACTTGGGCGGTCGTCGCTTGTCGCTTTTTCGCCTCAGCTCCTGATTTAGCAAACAGCAATAGTTCATGAGAACTTACGAGAACCCCAGACTTTTTGCCAGTTCCACATAGGCTTGGCTTTCAGGATCCAAGCGCAGAGCTATGCCAATGTGATGCCGGGCTTTTGCATCATCTTCTTGGAAGCTGTAGAGTGATGCCAAGTTGGCATGACAAACATGCAACAAGGGATCCAAGCGAATGGCTTCACAGTAGGCTTTGATGGATTCCTCTGTGAGGCTTTCACCTTGTTTTGCAACTCCGGTGTATGCCCACACATCTGCTGGTCTTATTCCTGCAGCTTCCAACCAATGTGGCTTTGAGAGCCCGACATCTATGATCTTTCCCAAAAGTGGCAAAGCATCTCGATATCGCTGTGCATCACACAAGGCTTCAGCGAACGAATATGCCTTTTTCAAGGCTGCTGCATCTCCCTCGGCATTCGAATGACTGCTGTGGCGTCTTGGTACTGTCTCAGGACTTCCAAAGGTTGGAAGCTCTTCTCTCTGCCAACTTGGTAGGTCTTCAAACGCGTGAGAGCTCTTGCAGCTGTTAGCACTGTTGGTTTCCTCCACTGAATGCAACAGGAGGCTTCTTGACTCCACTCTTTCTTCCTCACGTGCAGCTTTGGCCCGACTTGGGCCGGAGTCCATGTTGCGGAAACTGTATTGTGAATCGGCATAAACTGTGTTCTGCATCTCCTCTGGGGGTGATGCATCGCTCGGATGTGCATTTCCCAGGTCTGGCCGTCTGAAACCAGCACTTTGCGTGTGATCGGCTGCTGGGAATGCGGACAGGTCCTCAATACTGGTTGGCTTTGCATCCCGTTGTGAACTCTGCCAGCGCCACCGCGGAAAAGGGCTTGTTTCCTCTGGCTCAGGCTCAACTGGTCTTTGTTCTTGCGATGAGGATCTCATGGATGCAGCTGTCTTCGATCTCAACTTCTGAAGTTCTTCCTGGAAAACAAAGAGCTGTTGCAAATGAGCTTGCTGCATTTCCTGCATTTCCAGCTGCAAGTCGGACATATCACCTCTTGCTTTGCGAAGCTTTGCTTCTTGCATATCTCGGTCGACTTCTTTCTGCACCGACAGCTGTCGCATCTCTTCACGGAAATTGGCCACTTCCTGATGCATCGCGAAGACTTCCCGGTGCAGTTCAGGTGCATCTCTTGTATCCCGATCTCCGCGATCCCGGGAGCGCAATGTGGACCGGCTTAGGCGGAGATCATCCAGTGACGTAAAGCTTAGGGGAGGGAGTTGACCAAGCGATGATGTATCATCCAAACTAGATCTGGCATCTTGCAGTTCTGTGTTCTCTCTCAGGAGTGTATGCACACAATTGGCAACAGCTTCCAAAATGTGCCCATACCGGGGTGCAGTGAAGCTGGCCTTCTGCTCCTCATTGTCTCCGAAATTCTTGCAGACTTCCTCATAGAAGACCAAGGGAAGTCCTTCGCAATTCACCAACCAATCTGTGCAAAAAAAAACTAGGAATGATCCAACCTCAACACATCTGATACTATCTGATATCCGCCGACCCCGCTTGCAGCAGGGGGAGCGCGTCAGAGGAGGAATTACCAGCAGCAAGGGCCAAGAAGTGATTACAAGCAGCAAGGGCAAGAAGCAAGAAAACAAGAAAGAAGAAGCAAGAAGCAAGAAGCAATTCCCGCAGGCCCGGTCCGTCCCTCAGGGCCCTGCTGTTTGGCTGTGGCGCAGGCGCCGTTTTGGGTCAGACAGCTAGGTTTTCTTGTAGGTTCAGAAAGCCACGTTAGGTACTCACGGCCGTGGCTCGCAGGCCCGGTCCGTCTCTCAGGGCCCTGCTGTTTGGCTGTGGCGCAGGCGCCGTTTTGGGTCAGACAGCTAGGTTTTGTTGTAGGTTCAGAAAGCAACGTTAGGCACTCACGGCCGTGGCCAGGCAGTTCAGAAGGCAACGTTTGGCACCGTGGGCTGCCGGCTGCGGGCCCGATCCGTCCTTCAGTGCCATGGTGTTTGGGCCCTGCGGAGGGGTCCTTTGACCGGACCTGTGCAGGACGCACGCCAGCTGCAAGAGGACACGGGCAAGCTAGCCGCAAGCCGACGCAATTGGCAGTTGGCAGTGCAGGAAGGCAGGGAAAAGCAAGGTTTGAAGCTAGTTTCTAGGCAGTTCAGAAAGCAACGTTAGGCACCATGGGCTGCCGGCTGCGGGCCCGATCCGCCCTTCAGTGCCATGGTGTTTGGGCCCTGCGGAGGGGTCCTTTGACCGGACCTGTGCAGGACGCACGCCAGCTGCAAGAAGATACGGGCAAGCTAGCCGCAAGCCGACGCAATTGGCAGTTGGCAGTGCAGGAAGGCAGGGAAAAGCAAAGTTTGAAGCTAGTTTCTAGGCAGTTCAGAAAGCAACGTTAGGCACCGTGGGCTGCCGGCCGCGGGCCCGACCCGTCCTTCGCTGCCATGGTGTTTTGGTGCTGCGACAGGGTCCGCCAAGAGAAGACAAGCAAGCTGGCAGGTGGCCGATGAAGGGCGGGCAAAGTCCAAGTTTGGAGCTAGTTTCTAGGGAGTTCAGAAAGCAACGTTTGGCACCATGGGCTGCCGGCCACGGGCCCGATCCGTCCTTCGCTGCCATGGTGTTTTGGTGCTGCGACAGGGTCCGCCAAGAGAAGACAAGCAAGCTGGCAGGTGGCCGATGAAGGGCGGGCAAAGTCCAAGTTTGGAGCTAGTTTCTAGGAAGTTCAGAAAGCAACGTTTGGAACCATGGGCTGCCGGCCGCGGGCCCGATCCGTCGTTCGCTGCCATGGTGTTTTGGTGCTGCGATACGGTCCTCCAAGAGAACACAAGCAAGCTAGCAGGTGGCCGATGAAGGGCGGGCAAAGTCCAAGTTTGGAGCTAGTTTATAACGGAAGTTCAGAAAGCAACGTTGGCACCATGGGCTGCCGCTGCGGGCCCCGATCCGTCCTTCGCTGCCATGGTGTTTTGCGTGACCTTTCGCCGAAGGGTCACGCCAAGAGAAGCAAGGCACGCTGGCAGGTGGCCGATGAGGGCGGCAAAGTCCAATGTTTGGAGCTAGTTTATAGGAGTTCAGAAAGCAACGTTTGGCACCATAGGCTGCCGGCCCCCCCGAATCCCTCCCCCGGGCCGATCAGTCCTTCGCTGCATGGTGTTTTGGTGCTGCGGAAAGGGTCCCGCACAAAGAGAAGAGAAGCAAGCTGGCAGGTGGCCGATGAAGGGCGGGCAAAGTCCAAGTTTGGAGCTAGTTTCTAGGGAGTTCAGAAAGCAACGTTTGGCACCATAGGCTGCCGGCCGCGGGCCCGATCCGTCCTTCGCTGCCATGGTGTTTTGGTGCTGCGACAAGGTCCGCCAAGAGAAGAGAAGCAAGCTAGATTCTATAGGATTATTCTCTATAGTCTAGGATTCTATAAGATTATCTACTAGGATGCTCTAGGATTTCAGAAGGGGCCACGACGACAACAACAACAACAACAGCAACAACACAACCACAACAACAACAACCACAACAACAACAACACCACCACCAACAACAACAACAACAGCAACAGCAACAGCAACAACGACCCTTTCCCGGGGGACCCTATTGGGTCCCCCTCCCACCGGTCACGTACGTCGATTCATCGACTCCGGGGTTTTTCTTTTACCGGTGGGGGGTCCTTCCCGGAGTCTCCTCGAGGTACGTGGGGCTCCTTGGGTTGCCCTTCCCACCCAGATTTTTTCGGTCGAGGCCGCATCCCAGAGTTTCAAGTTCGAGGCAGAATCACCGGTAGTTAGAATCACATTCATTTCCCTGGGTTTCAAACGTTACGTTGGTCATTTTCGGGGTGCAAGTTTCATCTTCTCTGTCCTTTACTGCCATGGTAGTTTCCCAGACCGTGTAGCAGGAGCAGGAGCAGCAGGCGGAAAAAGGAGCCAACATCATTCTTCTCTCTGGGTTTTCGAAGTTCCGTTAGGCACTTTCGGGATAGAATTTTGCGGTTTTTCCGTCCTTCACTGCCATGGTGGTTTCCTATCCGGGAGGCCCTTGTTGAACGGACGGTGTAGCAGGAGCAGCAGCAGCAGCAGGAGGAAAAAGGAGCTAAAATCATTCTTTTCTATGGGTTTCAGAAGTTGCGTTAGATATTTTCGGGGTACAATTTTGAAGCTTTTCCCTCCTTTACTGCCATGGTGTTTTCCTATCTGGGAGGTGCTTCTTGAACAGAAGGTGTAGCAGGAACAGCAGCAGCAGCAAGAGGAAAAAAGCGCTAAGACCATTCTTTTTTATGGGTTTCAGACGTTACGTTGGCCATTTTCGGGGTGCAAGTTTGATGCTTCTCTGTCCTTTACTGCCATGGTGTTTCCCCAGAACGTGTAGCAGGAGCAGGAGCAGCAGGAGGAACAGAAAGTGTAGCAGGAGCAGCAGCAGCAGCAGCAACAAGGAGTTCAAATCATTCTTTTCTTTGGGTTTCAGAAGTTACGTTAAGCATTTTCAGGGTACCATTTTTGGGCTTCTCCGTCCTTCACTGCCATTGTGTTTTCCCATCCGCGAGGTGCCTTTTCAACAAAACGTATACCAGCAAAAGGAATGAAACTAAAATCATTCTTTTCAATGGGTTTCAGACGTTACGTTCGGCATTTTCGGGGTGCAAGTTTGATGCTTCTCTGTCCTTTACTGCCATCCGCGAGGTGCTTTTTGCACAGAAGGTGTAGCAGGAGAAGCAGCAGCAGCAGCGGCAGGAAAAACAAAAAGAGCTCAAATCATTCTTGTCTATGGCTTTCAGAAGTTACGTTCAGCATTTTCAGGGTGCAAGTTTGATGCTTCTCTGTCCTTTACTGCCATGGTGTTTTCCCAGAACGTGTCGCAGGAGCAGAAGCAACGGGAAGAAAAACGAGCCACAATCATTCCTTTCTATGACTTTAATATATATACATTCGTCACTTCAAGAACAAGACCCTAATCCATATATTTATGTATACATAACTCCAAGGACCCTGTTATACGTCTTCACCTCCGAGGACAAAGTCCTGGTATATATATATATATAACTCCAAGGACAAAGTCCCGGACTACAGACAAAAAAAAAGGCCCTCTTCCGGACACGGCCTGTCCGGCAGACTAGTTACTGTTTCGATGTATCTATATATATATATATACAGATACATATGTCGTTACGTACGTAGTATATTATTTCTTTCACTACTATTCAATACTCATATATTTCTATACACATACATATTACATTACATTACAATACAAACAGTACAATTATCCATGTATACCTGGACTACAAAGAAAAAACGTCCCTGTTCACGACACTGCCTGTCCGGCAGGCTAGTTACTGTTTCGATGTATCTATATATATATATCTACATGACTCTCCTCTACATCACTCTCCTCTACATGACTCTTCTCTACATGGACTCTCCTCTATAAGACCCACCTGTACATGACTCTCCTCTACATGACTCTCCTCCACCTGACTGATTTCTACATGCCTCTCCTCTACATGACTCTCCTCTACATCCTCTACATAATTCTCCCCTAAGTCACTCTCCTCCACACGGCTCTCCTCTATATCACTCTCCTCTACACGTCTCTCCTCTAAATGATTCTCCTCTACATGCTCTTATCTACACGACCCTTCTCTACATGACTCTCCTCTGCATGACTCTCCCCTACATAACTCTCCTCTACCTGACTCTCCTCTCACTTCTCTAGATGATTCTCCTCTCCATGATTCTCCTCTCCATGCCTCTTCTGTACGTGACCCTTCTCTACATGACTCTCTTCTACATGGCTCTCCTCTTCTCTCTACACATATATTTCACTCCAAGACCACAGTCCTATAATATAGACATATATATATACATACGTCACTCCAAGAACAAGACCCTAGTCCATATATTTATGTATACATAACTCCAAGGACAGGGTCCTGGACTATATATATATATACATATGTATATATACGTATTTACCTCCGAGGACAAAGTCCTGGTATATATATATATTAATAACTCCAAGGACAAAGTCCTGGTATATAGATTTCTAGATATATATAAATAACTCCAAGGACAAAGTCCTGGACGACAGAAAAAAAAACGTCCCTGTTCGGGACACTGCCTGTCCGGCAGGCTAGTTACTGTTTCGATGTATATATATATATAGACATAGATAGATATCGATACATATGTAGTTAAGTACGTAGTCTATTTTTTCTTTCAATACTCATTGTTTATATATACATGCATATTACATTACATTACAATACAATCAGTACATTTATCTATGTATATATACATATTTACCTCCGAGGACAAAGTCCTGGTATATATATATGCATATATACACTCCAAAGACAAAGTCCTGGTATATAGATATATATATATAACTCCAAGGATGCGAATCGGGGATTGCCTGTCCGATTATATTCCAGTAATTGATGCTGATGTCTGTTGTTCCAGTAATGACTTCACAAAGACGACA